GATGGACAATGAGAGGGCGAAATCTCAGATGGCCCCGGCCTGTGTGCCTGCTAGGCACTTTGACAGCATATTGATCAGCCAAAGAGAGTCTTGGGCAGGGTCAAAGGTGTGAGGATGCATGGCTCCGATACCGCCACTGGGACAGGTACAGGACGGCAGTAACCAGGATCTATTAGGAAATAGATCTACTCTTGAGCCGGTTGCATTGTCCTTTTGTTGAAGATGGGACTCGTTGTTGACTGCTGGCACTCGCAGTGTTCTCTGTGGACACGGGTGAAATTTCCCCTCCAATATAATACACACAACAACAATATAGCAATCTGTCGTTTTTTTTAAATTGATGTGACGTAATGTTTCTGTCTGGGACATTGATAGCCCACGGTTGTGAAAATGCCCAGCTCCTGTTATTGAATAGTAATAGGCTTGTCGGCCGGTGCCTTCAATTTCACAAATGGAGCAATAAATACACATAACGGAATCAGTGGAACAATAAGAATGCCCATAAAGGATGGTTGTGCCTCAAAAACAAGGAGGAGGGCGCGGGGAGGGGGAGGCAAAAGGAGGAGGGGTCCAAAGAAAATTTGACAAAGGAAAGAGATGAAAAGTTTGTGTGTAAGGGAGAAAGAGAGAGAGAGAGAGAGAGAGAGAGATGGTGGCCCACTCTTCATTTCTGTGCCACAAGCTCTCCTGGGCTTTTGCGTGCTCCGTTTTCAACCTAAGTGTAATTTGAGCCCTGGGTTGATACAAAGTGTATGCAGCAGCTCTGTTCAAACCCAATCACTCACCCTGACGTGTAATCCTTTCCCTCACCATCATCAACGTTGCTTTGGGAATAATGAAACACACTTAAGCAATACACAGCAGTCATACAGCTGCGCGAGGGGCCGCATCTTGATGAGATGCCTCGTAACTCTAATGAAAGGTGTTTTGACCTGCCAATGGAGGTAAATGATTGCCTTGCTACTGTATCTGTGGGAAACGTATTGATGGCAATATCTGGTCCAAATGGAGGATTTGAATGGAAACGAGTCGCACTTTACTTTTAAAAACACACAGACCGTGCTCTACATGTTATTTGTGTGGGACCTCTTTTTTCCTCCCCTTTTCATCCTCCAGTCATCTTGTCTTGTGATGCCATTGTTTCCACAAAGAGGATTATTACAATTAATTGGTTAGCAAGACATTATTTCAAAAAGGGAAATTGGCTCTTATAATTATATAGAGAAGGGAATACTTTAACTCCCTGGAATATCAGCTTCCTGAAATAATGGAGCTACAGCCCCTCGCTTCTCCCCCACCTCCACCAGCGTGTCTGTCTGCCTGTTTCCTGTGACGGATCCATTTTCAACAGCTCCTGGACCTGCAGTAGCTGGGGGGGGGGGGTGGCTGGATGGTTGGAGGCCTTCATGAATCTTCCACTGGCGTGCCTCTTACTACCACCCATCTGGGGTCTGTTGGGAGCACTGGTCTGCTCTTTGTTCTTTCTCATTGCTAAACTCCCTGTGTTGTGTGTTTGGGAATGGCCATATAAATATGCTAAGCCGAGGGAAGGGTTAGAGTAAAGGTTGCTCATAGTTATAGTAAACGTTCTCCTATTTACTTATACGGTAAATAATGTAATGCCAAGAGATGATAATATAGGTGTATTTAGCTGTTGGTCCATCACTCTGGTCCAGAAAGGAATATCTCAAAAGCAATAAAATGGATTTCCTTGAAATGTTATACATGGTACCCAGACAATGTGTCAAAATGGCGTGAATGGTGATCCTTGCCTTTTCCTGGAGCTCCATAAGCAGGTAAAATGTTCACTTGTCAGTTGAAATAAATGTAAAGGATATGTTTTGTAGACATTCATGTTTACCAGATGATTTATCCTCTGACTTTCTCCACTGCCACTATGAAGTTGACATTTTGTGTTTTTTTTATGTCTAAATCATTTTTGATGAATTGCCAGGACATTTGGTTTGCTACAGACATTCATTCTGTAATAACAGAAAGCTTCCTTAAACTTCCTTCTAGCACTCTCATCATGTAAACATTTCAACGCGTCCAATTATTTGGTTGGTGACCAAATACTTTCAAAACGAATGCCGTTCCAATCAGCCTTATGTGCCAATTAGCATTTGAAACATTGCTTGTATCTACTGTTAGCTTAAACATTGTTTGCTTGTACTGGTTGAATCGGTTTGAAATAACTTTTCATTTTAGTAGCTGGCTTTAAAACTTGTTTTTAAGTCCAAACACAAAAAAAATCACAGAGTTCAGGTAGTATTTAATTCATTTATCCTTTTACCTTTTTGAAAATCAAAACGTAAAAGTTACACAGATATTGGTGATTCAACGATCAGAGATATCAATGTACATCATTGCCAAATGATATATTTCACACCATAAATACTCAAAGCACGGAAGCAGGAAATCAGTCCCCTGCCCCTGTCTGCAATTTGTCATCAAGGGACCAATTCTGACACATAAAAACACATACCCGCTTAGTAGCCAACATGGGTGTCAAACCCACTGATGGCCAAGTTGTGTGGTCAACGTGAAGCATGCTTTACCTTTACAAACAGATCTATGAAGAATGAGTGGGAAAAGAAGATCAGTAAATACATTACAAATATTTTGGCAGGAGCACTGAGGGGAACAGGTTTTGGATGGAAACATGGGTGGCTCAGTTATGTCACAGACGTGTGAGTGTTGAATCAGAGAAATATTGACAATACGATAATGAGGTAGTAGTCAGCAGAGCGCTGCATACTTTATTTTCAATGGTATTTCGGCAACCTACTGTACTGACGCTGATATATTTACACACTTAGACACAGTTTGTAATGTAAGACATGTTCTTTTTTTACTTAACACAGTGCCATATTGCAAGGTAAAAAGAAAGAAAGGGAGATGAGAGAACTCCCGTTAAAATTATTCTTTTGGCTGATCATCTTGGGCCACTACAAAATTCTAGTTGTAAAGATTTTCTGCAAAAGTTTTCATTTATATTGCACTTTTATTGAAACAAGCACAAAAGTATTTTATCAGTGGAGCAAATATAGTTCTTCTGCTGTACAGTTTACATGTTTCTGATCCGAGGGATTTAGAATATGTCACTTAATAACGAACAGATTCTGCAGAGTCCAAGTAAAAGCATGCTTTTAGCATGGTTCCAGTCAGAATTGGTCCCTGGTGCATTGCACAACAGTAAAATAACTCGGGTTATATTGCCACCCTCTACTGTGGAGCTTTTGAGCTGGACAGCAGCTGGTTCAAGTTGGGGTGATTGGGTGCTGGAGTGGGTCTTCTTCCTGCATTACGTGGCCAATCAGGCTGCTATATAAAAGGCATGCCGGCCACTAGATCAGTGCTGGCCATTGATATCGCAAGCATGGCGGCAACTCTACCCTACTGCAATGTCAGGGATTCCTTTGATCACAGTATCATATTATTGTGACAGTGCCACAATTTATCACATCACATAAAATCCTTCAGTAGTATAAGCATTCACCTCCAGCACATTCTCTCTCATATTGAGACGAGAGGCATGGCCCTGCTGGACTGGACTCCAGCATTACTCACACCCAGTGGAACGGACTAAACACAGGGAGAAGGGAGGCCCAGATCTCCCCCCCACTGCGGATCACACCTTGTACTGACACACTGTTGGGTTGCTGTTACCCTTAGGAGCGTGCTGACACTTTGTTTTCTTACATAGCTATTCACATGTGCGTGCTCAGGCATCCGGACGTCTCCTCGCAGATGCCTGCCTGCCTCTTGGCCGGGTGGAGGAGTGTTACTCTGCACTGGCTGGTGTGTCAACATGAGGTCAAGAAGAAGTGTGTCTACAGTACGGCCGCGCAGACAACAACCTCCCGCTGGGGTTAAAATAAACCCAGTGTGAAGTGCAACCACTCCCGCTCTGCACCTGCCATTTACCTCTGTTTGGTCGGAGCTCTATAAATGCAGGCACAGCTATTAAAAGACGAGAGGTGTCTAAAATGGTGAGAGCAGATGCTGGGCACCTTGCTCCCTGTGTGTGGGATGACTCTGCCACAGGCTTAAAGGGGCCCAAAATAGAGCGGTTGACATATGGGCCTCTGATTGTTTGAACAAGGAATCTCCTGGACTTCTGCCACTCGGCATAAATCCTTTGATACTGCCACACCAAACACGCTGATCATCTTTCACCTAGCCCGAATCAGGTCATCTATTTGCATGCCAAGTGGCAATTTCCATGGGCTTAAACAATGACCAAATTTGGGGTTCAATGGGTTACGTGACACAAGCCGCTACAAGGGTAGGAGAAACACTAGTGTGCAGCGGTGTGTCCCACTGGTGGGACTGAGATACACAGGCATGGTATAGGAACAGCAGCATTGAAAAGCACGTGAACACATGAAAGATAGGAGGTTAAGCCTGACTTCTCCACAGCTCCCTTTATTGCTGAGTTAATACAGAATAAGACGACTAATTGTACCTGCCTATGCTATTTCGGTTAAACATGGGACCAGCAAGTCTTCCAGTATGAGACAGATCCACAAAGATCACACAGCTCTGGAGAGGTATATCCAAGGACATTTAAACTGATAAGAGTTCACATTTAGGTAACCATTTTAATTCTTTTTTTTTTAATCCCAGGAGAACTAGAGAAAATGGCCACCAAGTTCACCAGACTTTAAACTGTACACTCAGTCTTCCATTAATAAATATATACACGTCCTGGTCAAGTCCAGGAAAAAAAATCACAACTGAGACAAGTGAGTCTGTTTATGGTTGATGACACCTCCGCTGTCTTCAGATCAACTTAAGGAACTTTTAATTCTCCGGAAAGAGAATCTTCTTGCTCTCAAGAACTGGCAACTACTTATTCTGAAGATGCTGAGGGGCAGAGGGGTCCTTCATCATATACAGCATGACCACTGACAATTAACAAAAACCAACAAAAAGTATTACTGTACATAGTATTTCTTATATATTTTAAATTAATCTGCATCATTTTTATATTTATACTAATAACCAAGTTTTGCATTTTTTTTCTTTAGTGTCCCAGGGTTCCAGGGGGAGGGATGAGAGAAGGTCAGTCTCTCTGCTGCTGAGCACAGTCAGTGGGGGTCTCCTTCTCCTGGGGACCCTCAGCCTTGGTTCAAGTCACTTTCTGTATCGCTAACGCAGCCCTCTGCTGTCGCCGTGGCCCACCAGCCTCCCTCCGATCAGACCTTGGCCTCCGATCAGACCTTGGCCTCCAGCATCTCCAGGAACAGTTTGTGCATGGGCACCTTCCCCTGCACCTTGATGCTGTAAAAGTGCTGCACCGCCTTGGTGGCCGTCTGCCGCAGCAGAGGGAGGGTCATGAGCAGTTTGCCGGCCCGCCGAGGGTCCTCCGGGTGCTGGGCTCCCTCGTAGTCCTGCAGGGCCTCGTGCAGGGCGTCCTGCAGCTTCTGCACCGCCTCCATGTCCTCTATGTGCATGGAGTCTGACGGGACAAGAAGAGAAAGGAGCATGAAGATTGATGGCATTTTTTGAAATTTGACAAGAGGAGAAAAGTAACTTGTAGTGTTGTTTGCACTTGGAGACACTGGTAATATAAAAAGAATGATAGTAAATGGATTTTTCAAAAAATTAAATCTCATGATTGATCTTTACTGCTCTGTCCGAAGCAGTAAGGTAGGGAACACATTATCAGTATAACTCACACCGTGACAAGATAAAGAATAGATCATAAAAAAGAATTTAACAACATCTGCTTTATTTCTTTATTTAGTCTTGGGAGGACTGGGTGGGATATTCATACGGCCCTTGACCAGCGAGACTGAAAATCAATGTTATCCTGCAGTAACAATGGCATGAATAGCACCCAATCTGTTCTGAGCGAGTACACATTAAACACCTCACTGTTCCAAAGGACAGATTGTTTACGGACAAAAAACAACAAGGAAAAGAAAGGGGCTCCATTAGAGAATTGGACGCTATAAACAAGCGTGAGATGAATGCAACACTTCCTTTCAATTAATTTCCTTTCCTTTCCCTCAAAGGAGTTTCGGACCATCAGAGTAGAGGGAAAACAAATACTAATGGGTTTGTTTCGCAGCTAGATGCAAGAACAAAACCAGCCGTCTAAATATAGCACTGAAGAAATTGCAAATATTTGTTTCCCTGTAGATGCTTATTTCTTATTTGTCTATATTATGTCTAGCTTCTACTGAACAAAGACTGTGCCTCTGATATTTAGACAGGCCCAGAACCCCCTCACCTCGAGGCCAGTTTTAGAGCGGTCTACAGTTTCAGTCTGGCTTCTCTCCGGTGTTCTTTGCTCCTATAACGTTTCGCTACACTGCCACCGTTTTTTACTGATCCTACTGTACATCATGTTACAGCTCTCCTCTCATTCTCGCCTTTGTCTTTCTATCTCGCAGCCTCTCTCAGGGACAGTCAGGGGTCGCACTTTCTCTCACTGGTTAACCGGTGTCTGGCACTCTGGTGGCGGCATGTCATTGGCTGCCTGACTCGTCTCACCTTGGCGGTGCATATTTTACCACACGGGACAATAAAAACGCAAAACAGATTTCAGACTTCGCCCCAAATTCATTGACTGGAACAACTGTATTCCCAAGACCTTGAGACATTTCTCACCCTGACGGTTTTCAAATCCACAGTGGTAAAATGAAGTAGGTCGTTTTGTAAAGTGAATGCGGGAGGGGAGGGGAGGGTGGGGGGAAGCTGGAAGAACAAAAGGCAAAAAAGAAAAAAAAAATCTCCGATGAGGATGTGGTGTGACATAATTATCTCTTGTTCCTGTCACAGAGGCTGGATTCACAACCTAACAAGCTGCATTTTTTACAAATCAAACTCTATTTTCCACATGCACAAACACGTTTAAGCAATAAACCTGATTTGAACCTATTATAATTGAATGTTTTGCAGCGAGGGGGAAATAAAAAGGAGAAAATAAAAAGAGTGATAGAGACATCTCAACAGATGGGCAGGAGACATGCAGCCTGTAAGCCTTGGAGGAGGGGCAGACTTAAAAAAAAAAAAAAACTTTGAAGAAACAATTTCCTCGCAATCCATCAGTGAGCCCACGTCGATCCGATTGATAAACTGCTAATTACAAAATCAATCGCTATGAATTTTCACAGCTGTCGGAGCAGGGGGGCTCCCGGGAGAGCGATCTCCCAGAGACCTTGTTCTAACATTCGGGACACCCTCCTCCTCCTCCTCCCGACTAAAGCTCTGTCTGAAAGCAAAGGCTCACCATCAGCATTTTCATTTTTCAGCCCCGGACAAAACAAGGGGAAGCGGCCCGGTGACCCAGCGTGCATTGATCAGAGCGGGACAGGTCCTGCCTCCTCAAAAGGAGCCTGTCAATAGCGTTGTGCCGTCCTCGCATTCGAACAAACGAGACCCATCACTGCCTGATACTCATTCCATTCGACTTAACACATTTTATTGACAGCCCCTGTGCTCCTAATGAAATGCTAAATGTATCTCCCGTGGCTGCTGTGCCCTGCAGCTACTGTTATGGAGATAGAAAAAGAGAGGGGCGAGGGAGTGCTCGTGAAATACCACAACACGGAAGGTGTTCAATTAAAAAAAAATCCCTTCTCCATCCCTCTTTCCCATACAATGCCCTTATCTGCTCTCCATCTCTCCATCTCACGCTCTAAACTAAAGGTTACCCTGAAAAACTCCTGAAAAACTAAGAAATGTCATTTCTGAATCTGTGTCAGACAATACTTTAGGGTTCCTGGATATTACACTGAGTGTGCATTACTCAAAGGTCCAGTCAGGAAAAATGTGAATGCATGAGGCTAGATGTTATTAAGTTATTATTAGATATCGGTTAGAAAATCATACACATGCATATTAATTATACTGTTATTTCAGAGTAAGCGTTTTCATTTATTTATTTGCATTTATCTTTATTTTCAGATAAAGAAAATCTACAAAATGTTATTCTTCCCCAGTTTTGTGTTATATTCAACCTAAGGCAATAATGCTTTTGCAATGTGATTAAAACAAATTAAGCAGGAATAATAAGATATTTTTAAAACAAAAATGATGTTAATCCTCTAAAAGTAATTCTAATTTGTGAATGTTATACATTATAAACACATTTATTTATATTGAGCATATGGTTGTAAGATGATTTCATATTTTAAAACAATTATTTTGTTATTATGATTTACTATCATGCTTTCAAATACTTTTTCTTATAATGCAAGTGCTTTATAAATTCAATTGAACAAATAATACCTCTTTTTATTAAGATCACCCACTCATTTTGGTAATGCTTGTTTCAAACGTAGTTTTAATTCAAAGAAAAATCCTGACACCTAAGTGGGTGTGTGAGCGCGCAGAAGGCCCCTCACCTGAGTTGGCGAGAGCGATTGCCTTGAGGGTGACAAACTCCTCCTTCTCCACTTTGAGCTTCTTGTATTTGCGCACGAGCTGCAGGATGGAGACGTAGAGGTCGAGCAGCCCCGTCAGCCGCGAGTGCTCCTCGTCCATGATGTAGTCCTCCGCGTACACCAGCTCGTCCTCGTACGGCAGCGAGCGGAACACGATGCTGAGGATGAGGATCTCCATCCAGGCGCTCTGCAGCAAACTCATCTGGTCTCCCAGAGAGAGGGAGGAGAAGCCTGGAGGGACGGAGAAGGAAACTGTATGAGGGACAGGAGGACATCATGGGAAATACAAGTCCTTTTTCATAGGAGAGTTGGAAGAAAGTATTTCAAAGTAAAAGTTGACACTTGATCAGTAAACCAAACACGACTTGTCAAGCCCTGGTAGCTTGGAGTACATGCCGAGGCACATGTTAGCGAGCGGTGTTTAATTTTAAATGCACGGTGGAAGGTCCTCTTTGAAGCCGGTGTCAGAGCACTTGAGAGGGCTTTACTGTAAGTGAGAACAGTAAATCGGTGCAAAGGTCCAGGAGACACAAAGCCAGGTGGTTACCCCTTGTATCCTGTCACACCTCTATTGGTGTGTGGGGGATTAGCACTGAGACACATTCTCATTGGAGGGGTTGAGGACATGACATGCACTGTGTCGCAGGAGGAGGTGTCGAGGGGGACAGACACACAAACTTGTGTCAACGAGGAAAACAAAACTGACACATGTGCACCCGCGGATCATGACACCCATACGTATGCACATAAATCCATACACGTAGAAGTAAACACACATACCCAGAGCACAGGGGTCACATGGTTCAAGCCCGACCTGAAGACCTGCTTTAAACCCAGAGCCTCATTCTCCAACGGCAGCTGGATGAGCTGAAATTGGCTCGGCCGCATCAAACCACTGTCATTTCCCCTTCAACACCTCTACATATGCTCAGAATAGAACATTAAATACAACGGCCAGATCCCCGAAAGATGAGCTGTGAGAAACTCAAACAAATTAAAACGGGCAAAAAGAGAAAGGAAGAGAGAGTGAGGAGCAGATAGCCAGATAACCATCTCATCCCTTTTTCCTTCGTACTTCCCTTCAGCTGTCAATAAACCCTGCGCTCTCTCCCCTCCATCGCCCATCTCCCCTCCTGCCTGCAGGCGGCTCATTCTGACAGCATATTAGGCTCTTCAGCTCCGCCCCTGATTAATATGATTGCTTTTACAAGTTGCTGTTGCCACGCTACCTGCCACAGTGTGATTAAGAGGCGATAGATTACAGTATTGACCAGGGCTTCACCGCACCTATTCCCCAAGTTTTCTCTTAAATATAAATGATCTCACTGGGGGTGCAGCCACCAGCCTGATGTGTATCTGCTGCCACACCCCCCCCCCCCCACCTACAGATGAAATGAGTAGGGAGGGCGAGAGGAGACATGCA